CTGGGTCTTCTGAAAGAACAGCCAGTGTTCTTAACCACTGAACCATCTCTCCAGCCCAACAGTACCAAATTTTACACATATGCGCATGTACACACACACACACACACACACACACACACACACACACACAGATCAAATAAGATAAAGACCAAAATCGTCATTGGACTTGGTGATGAAAGGGTCATGGGCAACCTTGGCATGATTTTCAGGGGAGGCATGGGAAGAGAGGGGACAGGGCAGGATGGCTGAAAGGAGGGGCATGGGCTAATTGAGGCACTAGAGCTCAGTTTGAATAGGTTTGAAGCCTATTTCCAGGCAAGTTGAAGTTTGTTCCAAGAGTAAGGTAGAGATCAGGAGCAATGTTGCTCAGAGTATGGAATGTTAATAACAAAAATTATAGATGTGTGTGCTACCTCATAAACAACAAGAATTCATTCCTCAAGGTTCTGGAAGCTGGGAAGGAGAGCAGAGGCCAGTATGGTTGTGCTCTGACGAGAACTTCCTCTTCCTGGTCACTGACTATCTTTTTTCCTGTCCTTACACAGTGAAAGGCAGAGGCAACTCTTTGGGACCTCTTGTATAATGACACTAATCCCATTCATGGGGGTTCCACCCATGCCTAATCGTCTCTTGTAGGTCCTTCTCCTAGCTTTTATCTGGGGGTTAGGTTTCAACACATGAATCTGGGAGTTGCAAACATTCAGTCTATAGCAGGGACGTGTGCTGCCCTGAACACAGAGAAGCAAGCTTCACCCAGGGAAAACACCTCAGTCATGCTGGACTTTGGCAACCTTCCTTGCAGCCAGGGGGTGGGGTGTCTCTGCCGATTCTCAGCTTCGTGACCTTGGACAGGCAACCTATATCTCAGAGCCCTCAGTGTACCCATCTGTGAAGTGGAGACAGTTTCAGTTTCATCCCCCTTTGTTGCCTTGAGGATCAATGATCCACTATGCATCTATAGGTACCTGGTACAAAGTAGGACTTCCTAGAAGACATAGTAGGAGCGCTGCCCTTAGCTACCTGCTTTGCTATTTGATCATCTCAGGCACTGCAGGTCCAGAAGTGGTTCTTGGGCAGTGAGATCATGTTGGCTACAGGGAGCTTAGAATTAAATATCCTACTTTAGAAAATTGGAGCTAGTCGTCCTGTGCACCTCCCCGCCCCGACTCGTCCAGTGTTGAGGATCCTGGGGATTAAACCCAGGGCCTCACATAAGCTAAGCAGGTGCTCTACCACTGAGCTAACTAAAGGCTACCTCCACCTCTCTTCTCTTGCAGTCCTCATCTCTCTCCAGTCAGTCATAGTTTCATCCCAAATGTGGCTTCCCTCTCACCAACTGTCTCTATCTACCTTTAGAACATGTCTCTTGATGCCCACTCTGCCATCCTTGGCACTCCTTCCTGGCTTGGGCCTGGGGCTGTCTGGTCAGTTGTCCTGCAGTCTCTCACATGATCAACTGGACTAGCTGACTACACAGTACATGATGCTCTGTGAGTCTGGCTTCTGGGAGAGTAGAATGATGTCACCGCCTGGGCTGTGGGTACTTCCAGTCCAGGCCACATCAAGGGAGAGTCACAAGGCAGAAACAGGGTTTATGGAGCCAGTGCCCATGTTCTCTGTCAAGGGACACAGCATTGGCAGATGTGGAGTACAGCAAGTCCAGATACAGCCCGTAGGTGGTCAGGGAAGACTGAGGGGAACCCTTACCATCCTGAAATCCCTGCTTGTTTTGAGAGATTGCTAAAGGCTCCTTTTTCAAAACACAACCACGTCTTGCCCTTTAGCACTTTCTGGCTGTGCTGCCCTCCTTGCAGGTGACCTCCTGGAAGGGCTGCTTGTCCTTTCCATCTCTGGGCCTCTTATCGCTTCTCATCTTTAATTGCCTGACCCCTGGCCTCTGCTCCAACCCCTCCTCTGACACTAGGTCCCCAGTGACTCCTAATTACCAAGCACCAGAGTCCATCTTGGGCCTGATCTTGCCAGAGTGCTGAGGCCCACCCTTCAGCTGAATGACTATGCCTGCTTGGTCCCTGTCACCCTTCTTTTGGTCATCTTCCATCTCTGGATGTCCTTAGACTCCTTCCAGACTCTCTCTTATCATCATAGCAATGCTGGGCCCAGGGCCCTTTTCTGGATACTCTGGCCGTTTTCTCAGTGAGTAGTATGTGCCCTGATGCTTATGTATCTCTTTGTTTTCTTTAAAAAGTTTTCCTGGGGCTGGAGAGATGGCTCAGCAATTAAGTGCACTGACTGTTCTTGCAGAAGACCCGAGTTCGAATCCCAACACCCACACAGCAGCTAACAACTGCCTGTAACTCCAGTTCCAGGGGATCCAACAGCCTCTTCTGTCCTCTGCAGGCATTGCATGACATGGGTGCACTTACCTACATGCAGGCATAACACTCATACACATAAAATAAAAATAATAAATAAAATTAAAAAAATAAAAATAAAAAGACTTCCTTCCTTCCTTCCTTCCTTCCTTCCCTCCCTCCCTCCCTCCCTCCCTCCCTTCCTTCCTGCTTTCTTTCTTTCTTTCTTCTGGGTGTATGAGTGTGTGCCACAGCATACATGTGGAGGTCAGAGGACAACTTTCAAGAGTCAATTCTCTCCTTCCACCATATGTGTTCCAGGGATCCATCTTAGGTGGTCAGGCTTAATGGTGAGCCTTTACCTGCTGAGATATCTCACCAATCCACAAGTACACTTTAAAAAAATTTTTAAATATATTATTTTTTAGTTAGGATTGCTTTAAAAAGAATAACATGATTACATTGAAGAACTTTGCATAGATTGGAGAATTCAGAAAGAGTGAATTCACTGGATAAAAGGTCCGGAGCTGAGAAGGAATGCACCCCACCACCGAGTTCAGTCTCCATGTGCCTATACTTTTCTATAAAGGCAGATATTTCTCAAGGGAAAGGGACAAAGACAGAGGAGAGGCATGAGGGAAGATCATCCATTTAGGTTTGAACTTGGGTTTGAGATGTCTACAGAATATGCAAGTGGAATGTCCATAAACACCATCGAACGTGCCCCATTGTGTGCCTCTCCTTTTCTCATCTAATAGTGCGTCTTGGAAATTGTCCCACACTTCTCACAGAGAGCGTCCTCATTTTTTTTCTATTATTTATTTATTTATTTATTTATTTTTGATCTTTTGGAGACAGGGTCTTCCTGTAGCCCCAGTTGGCCTGGAACACACTGTGTAGATCAGGCTGGCCTCGAACTCACAGAGATCCGCCTGCCTTTGGCTCCCAAGTGCTGGGACTACAAGTGTGTGCCACCACACCCAGCTCCTTTATTTTTGTTTTTATTTTATTTTATTTTTGGTCTTTTTGAGACAGGGTCTCCCTGTAGCCCCAGCTGTCCTGGAACTCACTATGTAGACCAGGCTGGCCTTGAACTCATAGAGATCCGCCTGCCTCTGCCTCCCGAGTGCTGGGATTAAAGGCATGCACCACCACGGCCGGCTTATTTTTACTTTTAAGCACAGGCATTAAGGGAGAGAGAAGAGCTTACAAAAAGGATAGTACACACTTAAGCTATAGGTGTAGGCTGGGAGGGGGGATTCTTGATTCTTTTGTTTGTTTGTTTTTGAGACAGGGTCTCTCTGTAGCTCCAGGTAGCCTGGAACTCACTATGTAGACCAGACTGGCCATGATCTCACAGAGATCCACATGCCTGAGCCTTCCAAGTGCTGGGATTAATGGCTTGCATCTCCATGCCTGGCACACTTCCTCATTCTTGTTTCTTAAATTTAGCTCAGGGATTGTACAGACATGCCATAGGTTATTAAATTGGTCCTCTGCTAAAAGAAATGCAAGTTTTGCCATAATAAATGAGCTGCAGTTGGGGCTGGAGAGATGGCTTAGTAGTTAAGAGTAGGCACTGCTCTTGCAGAGGACATGAGTTGGTTCCCAGCACCCATGTCAAGTGGCTCACAACCACCTGTAACTCCAGCTCTAGGGAATCTGGTACCCGCTTCTGGACTCTGATGGCACCTGTACTCAGGCACATATTCCTACACACAGATGCACAGGCACACAAGCACACAGACACATAGACACACACACATACACACACACACACACACAAACACACACACACACAAGTTAAAAATAAATCTGGGTTGGAGAGATGACTCAGCAGTTAAGAGCACTGGCTGCTTTTACAGAGGACCCGGGTTTGGTTCCCAGCACCCATATGGTGACTAACAATCATCCATAACTCCAGTACAGGGGGACCCGAAACCCTCCTGACTCTGCAGGCACTACATGACACAGGTGCACCTAATCTACATGCAAGCAACACACTCATACACATAAAATAAAAATGATAAAATATTTTTTTAAAAATCTTTAAAAATAAATAAATGAATAAGCTGCTGCAAGAAAGTCTTGGGGTAGGGCTGTGAACCTGGAAGGAAAGGAGTGGATGTCAGGGTCCCAGCCTAGATGAAGAGAAAACGGTGATAGGATGGGGTATTGCTTTCAAGGCCAGGATGAGACTGTTTTGAGTTTGATGTCACTGAACAGAAGTGGAAGGTCACAATGAGGAGGATTCCTCACTCTGACCCAGCATGCAGAAGGCCCATTAAGGCCAGAGTCCTAGACCAGAGTTGAGCTGATGCAGGAATAGCGGAGACGATGCAAGTGCTAGGCCTGAGCCAGCTCCTTTAACCTTCACGTCAATCCTGAGAAGGATTGATTTGCATTCTAGAGACAAAGAAGCAGGTGGTAAAAGGCAGTCCTACTCCCAACCCAGCACAGACCTGTGTGGAGACCAGAGGGAGAGTGTCTCAGTAAGATGGCCCTTACTGAGAACAAATGAGACTAGAGGGCCCAAAAGAAGCCCCACATGAAGAACACTATTGCATTGACTTCGGAGCTTCTCCACCGCACCCGGAAAGCCTCTAAGAAACAAGGAGTGGCTGTCAGAGGTCTCCTGGGCCCTGCCTGGCATCTCTAATCTGGGAACCTCTGTCTCTTTCCTGGCAGGTTTTGCCCATCATTGTTTTCTTCAGCTGTGTCATGTCAGTTCTCTACTATTTGGGTCTCATGCAGTGGGTGATTCTGAAGGTGAGTTTCCCAGGCCTTTGGTTGTGTTCTTCCTAAGTCACCAGCTCCCAGGTGCATACCCTCCCAGAACCCCTTGATCCCAGGATACCCCTGCCCTCAGAGTCCATACTCTCCTAGAATCCCATGATCTCAAGATCCACCTCCCTCCCCGAGAATCCCTTACTCTAAGGATCCTGTTCCATTAGGGCCCATATTCTCCCAAAATCTCTTGCTCTTGAAATCTCCTGCTCATGCCTTCCTCAAATCCTCTACTCCCACACTTGGCATCCTCTCAGAATCTACCAACCAAACATCTATTCAGGAGGTCTCTTGTCCTGATACTGAGGAAAAGTGACACCAAATCCAACACAGTCTCTGTGGTTGGGGTCTTGAAGCTGCACCAGCATTAGGAGAAAAACTATTTATGCCAAGAAGATGTTGAGAAACATTGGGCTGCATTGGCCAGACTTAAGTGGTATAAATGTGTGTATATTAAAATTTTAATTAATTAATTAATTAATTGTGCATGCATGGTGTACTTGTGGGGGTCAGAGGACACCTTTCTGGAGTTGATTCTCTCCTTCTACCATCTGGGACTAGGGATGGAACTCAGGTTGTCAGATTTGGCAGCAAATGCCTTTAACCTGCCCGAGTTACCTTGTTGGCCCGATGAGCTATGTTGATAAAATCTGCTGCATAAAATGAGGATGTAGGAGATAGTAGCATGGGACAGGGACAGCATTGGACCTGATGAAAGATTCTGACGTTTTAGCCAACAGAGCTCAGAATAAATCGGAACCTTTGTGTGGTTGCAGAAATAAAGAACAACCTATGGTTATGTCAAGAGTAGACACTGCATAGCGCTTGGGAGGCAGAGGCAGGCAGATCTCTGTGAGTTCGAGGCCAGCCTGGTTTACCTAGTGAGTTCTAGGCCAGCTGGGGCTACAGGGAGACCTTGTCTCAAAAAGACAAACAACAACAACAACAACAAAAAACCCAAAAGTACACACTGCAGAGGAAAAAAGCAGTGACTGTGCTGGATCTGGAGAAGGTGTTCAACCAGGTTTGGACAAATGATACTCTGCACAGGAAAATGAAAGAGCTTAAGACCACACCCTCCACAGCCTGGCTGGAGGGATTAGGAATGACGGGCCTAGACAAGAGGAAGGTAAAATGGAAGGCTGTGTCCAAATACTTACAGAACAGAGATTAGGCAAAGGCGGCCGTGAGGCAGCAGCAGTGCAGGGAAATTCCAGGAAGAACTTTCTAAGATGGTGAGCTCAAACCTTTCCACTGAACTCTAGTTTCTGGCATGTTACCAGATGTTAAGCAATTGAGGGAAACTAGGCTAGACATTTTGGTAGACAAATTTAAACAGATTTATTTCTTTTTAAAAATATTTTAGTCATTATTTTTATTTTATGCGTAGGAGTGTATTGCCTGCATGTATGTAAGTGCACCCATGTTGTGCAATGCCCACGAGGTCAGAAGAAAGCATTGGATTTCCCTGGAACTGGAGTTAGAGATGGTTGTTAGCTGCCATGTGGGTGCTGGAAATTGAACCTGGGTCCTCTGTAAGAGCAGTCAGTGCTCTTAACTGCTGAGCCATCTCTCCAGCTCCAATTTATTTCCTTTCTAAAGCATTATTTATTTAGTCTATATGTGCATGCACGTGCACATGCCATAGCCTTGTGTAAGGTCAGAGGCCAACTTTTGGGAGTTGAGTCTCTTCCACCATGTGGGGCTTGGTGTCAAACTCAAGTGGTCAAGCTTGGTAAGCAAGCACCTTTACGTGCTGTGCCATCTCCTGTGGCCCTCCACCTTATTTTCTGAGGTAGGGTTTCTCACTGAACCTGGAGCTCACTGATTCAGCTAGACTGGTTGGCCAGCAAGCTCTAGGGATCCTCCTGGCTCCACTTCCTCAGCACTGGGATTTCAAGCAAATGCCAACACATTTGGCTTTTTACATGGGTGCTGGGGATCTGAACTCAGATCTTCATTTGTACAGAAAGCACTTTACTGACTGAGCTATCTCCACAATCCCTGATCATTTCTTTTTAAAAAAAATAATTTAATTTTTAAAAATTTTATGTGTATGCCTGTATTGCCTGCATGTAGGTAAGTGTACCAATGTCATGCAATGCCCACAGAGGTCAGAAGACGCTGTTGGATCCCCTGGGACTGGAGTTACAGACAGTTGTTAGCTGCCATGTGGGTGCTGGGATTTGAACCCGGGTCTTCTGCAAGGACAACAAATGTTCTTAACTGCTGAGCCATCTCTCCAGCCCCCTGATCACTTCTTAATACTGCCACAATGCTGATGAAATTTTAACATGAGTTCTAAAGAGGACATTCAAACCACAGCAGAGCTCTGGGCTGGACTGGGAGTTGGAAGGAAGACTTCTAAAGTACTTCCTTCCTCGACTCTTTCTGACTCTGGAGCTTGCTAATGCCCACTCACAAAGAGTACCTTGCTTTCTTCCAGATTGCCTGGCTAATGCAGGTCACCATGGGCACTTCAGCCACCGAGACCCTGAGTGTGGCAGGAAACATCTTTGTGAGCCAGGTGGGTACTGCAACTACCCCAAAGAGATGGGTGGGGGTGGGGGTTTGCAAGATTCAAATTCAGTTCCAGGGAGAGGCCTGCGAACCAATCATGAGCATCATCGAAGGCTGCTACCAAGAGATATACCATTTGGTGGCTGCACACCCTGCCTTTGTCATGCCAAACCCAAGAAAGGCCTATTTGGCACCTCTACCACTCTAGCCTAGTCTGTTGTCATCAGCTTATAAGACTCATAAGACCTATATGGAGAAACTGAGGCTGGGGGTTGGGAATGGCATCACCAAGATCCCCCAGGGGTAAACCAAGTCTTAGCATACAAGTTTTCTTTTTCTTGGCCAGACTTTCCACTGCATCATTTTGTCTTGATTTTCTTCTTTCTTTTTTAAAAAAATTATTTATATATATTTTATGTGTATGAGTGCTTTTCATGCATGTATGTAAGTGCACTCATGTGCAATGCCATGGAGGTCAGAAGAGGGTGTCAGATCCCCTAGAACTGGAGTTACAGACAGTTGTTAGCTGCCAAGTGAGTTCTGGAAACCGAACCTGGCTGGGCCCTATGCAAGAAAAAGGAAGCACTCTGTGCTGGATAGCTTAGTGTCAACTTGACACACCTGGGTTAAGGTACCCTCGTGGGCCTGTGTTGCATAAGAAAGCAGGCTGAGCAAGGGCCAGGGGAGCAAGCCAGTAAGTAGCGTTCCTCCATGGCCTGTGCCCCAGCTCCTGCCGCCAGGTTCCTGCCCTGAGTTCCTACCTTGGGCTCCGTGATGAATTGTGACCAGGGAGATGTAAGATAAATAACCCTTTCCTCCCCAAGTTGGTAGTAGTCAGAGTGTTTTGTTATAGCAATGAAGAAACAAAACTAGGACACACTCCTTTTTTTTTTTTTTTTTTTCTTGTCTTTTTGAGACAGGGTCTTCCTGTAATCCTAACTAAGCTGACCTGGAACTCTTTATGTAGACCAGGTTGGCCTTGATCCACGGAGATCCACCTACCTCTGCCTCCCAAGTGTTAGAATTAAAGCCTTCAAAGTTTGGTGGCATAATTTCAGTCTGTAATCATGGCAGGCTTGGTTACCTTCAAAGTCTATTCCCTTCCCCAAGACACAATGGCCTCATTGTTTTAAATGCTTTAAATGTCTCCTGCTCTGGAGCCTTGAGCCCATCTTCTCTTCCTGAACTCTGGACTGATGTGTCCCTCCACCTCAGTAGCTCAGGGACATTCAAATTCAGCATTCCACAAAGTAGGACCTCCATTCCCTCCCTCATAGCCACACCTCTTCAAGACTCTCAGGAAGTGGTAACAACTCCCATGTATTGCTCAGACAAATCAAAAAGCCATCTTGCCTTCTACTTTCCTTGCTCCACTCTGCTCCAAGCATTCCACCTGGTACCAAGTCCCTCAGCTCCACATCTGTATCCTATCCAGCCTTGGTCCTGCCCTTCTTCCTTGCTGAGAACCATGCAGCCCCTCATCTGAAAACTGCAATCACTGCCTGTTCTCCCTGCTTCCATTCCCACTCCTTCCATCATCTCTATACAGTGACCTGTCAAAAACACATAGGAGGGGCCTGGGATGTGACTCAGTGATACAGTGATACAGTACTTGCCTTGCATGGGCAAGATCTTAGGTTTTATCCCATCACCACAACATGTGGACACACACACACACACACACACACACACACCACTTGAACCATGCCCCTAAACAAGTGCATTGCTTTTCCTAGTGTACTCTAGAGCCTGCATATGCTCTTCTGCCTCCATGTCAAACCAGTCTTCACACATGTGCTCTGTGATACACACCATCCTCCTTAGGACTTCTCAAACTCGGCTAAGGTTATTCCTGCTCCAGGGCCTTAGCTCTTTGTTCTGACTGGACTGTTGGGCTACCACACTATGTAATTGGTCCCTTCCAGTTTCAGCTAAGCCTAAACCAATGTAACCTTCTGAGAGAGGCCTTTGCTGATGCTCCCTAACCTCTAGGCATTTCCTCACACATCTTCACAGCTTTTTAACACCTTCTGAATCACAGTACTTATCTACCTGGTTCCTTATTGGTTATCTATATCCTCTCTCCCTCTTGACCTTTCTCCTACCTCTTCTTACAGAAAATATATTCTTTAAAAAAAATTTTTTTTTTTATTAGGCCGGGAGTAGTGGCGCATGCTTTTAGTCCCAGCACTTGGGAGGCAGAGGGAGACAGGTCTCTGTGAGTTCCAGCCTAGCCTGGTCTACATAGTGAGTTCCAGGCCAACTGGGCCTACAGGGAGACCCTGTCTCAGAAGATCAAAAAAAATTTTTTTAGTGAATTTTTGTATATTTCATACAGAACACATTTTTGTTTTTGTCTTTTTGAGACAGGGTCTCCCTGTAGCCCCAGCTGACCTGGAACTTGTTATGTAGACCAGGCTGGCCTCGAACTCACAGAGATCCATCTGCCTCTGCCTCCCGAGTGCTGGGACTACAAGTCTTTATGCCTGGCCATACAGACCATCTTAATCAACTTATACCCCCTTTCCCATTGGTACCCATCCCCCCACTAGATTTCATTCTGTCATTTGTGTTAAGGCCTAGCATGTCAAGTTAGTGTCCCCAGATGTCCCTCAGTGCAAGTTCATCCACTGAGGTCTAGTCAGCCTATCTAGAGTCTCTCCCTCTAATAAAATCAGCTCTTCCTCACCCAGCAGTAATCAGCTGCCAATGATTCACCAACTTAGATTGAAGCCTGCTGTCCATTTCCACAGTTCCGTGCTGGGTTTTTGTCTGCTTGAGTTTGCATGGGTCTTGTGCATGCTGACATCATTGCTGTAGGTTTATATAAGAAGGGTCACAGGAGCCTGTAGGACTCTATTTCCATATGGTCATGCACCTGGCTCTTACAGTCTTTCTGCCCCCTCTTTCACAATGGTCCCTGAGCCCTGGGTGGGTGGATTCTAATGTAGGAGTCCTGTCCAAGGACCCACACTCTGTAGACTCTTATTCTCTATGTTTGGCCATTTGTGACCTTTTGTGTTCCTGGCCCTGTGTTGCCTGAAGGAGCTTCATTGATGAGAATTGAAAGATGAATTAGTGTTGTCTTTATCCCTTGTTCTATGTTCCATGAGCCTTAGGTGTAGAGGTTGCATTCTAGATGTGCCACTTAGGCTTGGGCAATTCACAGAAAATCTCTGTGTATGACCAGTTATGGAACTCTGTAATAATCTTTGTTGAAAAAGAAGCTTCTTTGATTGGTGGTAACTGGGATACTTGTCTGTAAATTTAAGCATCCATATTTTGCACATAGTAAAAAATTGCATTTGTTTAGCCTTGGGGTTTTCTCTAAGATCTATGACTTCTCCAGCTATGTGTATTTGGCTAGGTTTACAGTACCACACATGAGCTTCCTCCTACTGAGTGGGCTTTAAGTCCAATTAGGTAGCTGTTTATTACCCCCAAGATAAAAGTGCTAGTACTGCTGGGTGTGGCGGTGCACACCTTTAGTCCCAGCACTTGAGAGGCAGAGGCAGGTGGATCTCTGCGAAGTCAAGGCCAGCTGGGGGAGACCCTGTCTCAGAAAAAAAAAAGTGCCAGTACTGCACCAGTGTCATTTGCTGTGCTGGTCATTGATGTGGTATTTAGACCTTGAAGCTGGGTTGGATTATCTATTGATGTTCTCCCTTACCAGCTCGCATAGTGCTCTCCAAAGCTATGAGAGCTAGCCTTCAGGAAAGGTGGCTTCCAGGTCAGTTCTAGCTCCATTGCTCCAAATCCTGTGTCTGCAATAGGATCTTACCTTCAAGTTCTGGGAGGCAATCAAGGACTGTGACAATAGCTTGTGTAATTTTGGGAGTCTCTTGGACTACCCTGGCCAACAACTCAAAGGAAGGTTTCTCCTGTCTGGCACTGTTTCTTGTTATGTAGCCTTCAGCTATACTCATGGACTAATGTAGAGATATTGTATATGTAATTTTTCAGTAGGTTTTTGGACTAGTACAATTCCCTCTGGTTTTTTTTTTTAATACTAGCTAGGCATTATTTATCTCTCTTCTCTGTCCCTGTCTAACCCTCCTTCCATGCCCTCTCCATTTAAAGTATCCCCACTTTCCCCATTTCTCCCTTGATAATTTCTGTCTGCTATGGTCCCACCTCTCTTGAGCTCCCTTTCCCCCTTTATCCCCATACTTCCTCACTCTCCCCTTGCCACTTAAATACCCCCATTTTACACTTTTCTCCCTTAATTACACCTGTCTCCTACTATTATTCTCTCTCAGCTTCCTTCTTTCCCTTTACCTCCCTGGTTACTTTCAATTTTCCTGGTTCTTGCAGTTACATCAGGATATATACTCACTGTATTATACTATACAAACAAAAAAGTAACTATACTTTTCTGCTGCTGTGATAGAAACACTGAACAAAGCAAGTTATAGAAGGAAGAGTTTATTTGGGCTTGTGGTGCCAAGGGGCACAAGTCCATCATTGCAGGGAAGTATGGTGGCAGAGGTGGTTGGAGAAGGAGTACAAGTTAAGTTCTCACATCTTCAAGCAGGCACAGGAAGCAAGAGAGACACTCGAGATCTGGCATGGCTTAAGGATTCTCTAAGCCCACCCCCAGTGATGTGCTTCCTCCAATATGGCCACACCTTCTAAGACCTCCCAAGACAGCACTACCAACTGGGGACAAAATGTCCAAATACTTGGTGCCTATGGGAGACAGTCTCATTCCAACGATCACATCCACATATAAGGATTTGGTGCTAGGATCCACAAATGAGGGAGAACATATGTTGTTTGTTTTTCTGAGTCTGTTACTTCACTTAGTATAACAGTTTTTAGTTCCACCCATTTACCTGCAAATTTCATTATTTCATTTTTCTTTACTGCTGAGTAGAACTCCATTATGTAAATGTACCACATTTCTACTATCCACTGGTCAATCGAGGGACACTTAGGTTGCTTCCATCTCTTAGCTATTTTGAAAAGAGCAGCAATAAACATGGATGTGCAAATGTCTTTGCAATAGAATGAGTCCTTTGCAATAGAATATGCCAAGGAGTGGTATAACAGGGTCGGTCATATGGTAGGTTCATTTTTAGTTTTTTTTAAGAGTTCTCTACACTGCTTTCCATAGGGGTTGCAGAGTTTGCAATCCCACTAGTAGTGAATGAGCTTTCCCCTTTCTCCACATCCTCTGTAGTATTTGGTATCGTTTGTTCTCTTGATCTTAGCCAGTCTGACTGGGGTAAGATGAAATCTTAAGGTTGTTTTAATTTGTATTTCCCTAATTACTAATGATGTTGAACACTTTTAAAGATGTTTCTTAGTCACCTTTATTTCTTCTTTTGAGAACTCTCTGTTCAGATCTTTAGCCCATCTTTTAATTGGGTCATTTGTTTTCTTGATTCTTTGTTTTTTTAAAGTTCTTTATATATTCTAGATGCTAAACCTCTGTCAGATGTGTCACTGATGGAGATTTTCTTCCACTATGTGGGTTTTCTTTTCACTTTCTTGCTTGCTTTTTTTGTTGTACAGAAGCTTTTTAGTTTAATGAGGTCCCACTTGTTGATTGTTGACCTTAATTCCTGAGCAACTGTGTCCGATTTAGAAAGTCCTTTCCTACACCTGTATCTTGTAGGTTACTGCCAATGCTTTCTTCTAACTCTGTCAGAGTTTCAGGTTTCTCATTGAGGTCTTTGATCCATTTGGAATTGATTTTTGTGCAAGGTGAAAGATAAGGTTCTAGTTTGATTCTTCTACAGGTGGAGATCCAGTTTTGCCAGCACCATTTGTTGAAGATGCTATCTTTCCTCCATTGTGTGTTCTTGGCACACAATGATAGTTGTCAAATATCAGGTGACTGAAATTGCTTGTACTCATGTTTAGGTCTTCAATTACATCCCATTGAGCTCTGGGTCTATTTTTTGTGACAGTACCATGCTGTTTTTATGATTATATCTCTGTAATATAGTTTGAGATCTTGTATAATAAGCCCCTCAGCATTGCTCTTTGTGCTCAGGGCTTGCTTTGGCTATCTGGGGTCATATGCTTCCATATGATTTTTTCCAATTTTGTGAAGCATGTCATGGGGATTTTTGTTGGAGTTGAATTAATTTATATATTGCTTTTGGTAGGATGGTCATTTTCACAATAGTAATTTTTCCAATTCATGAGCATGGAAGGTCCTTCCATCTTCTAGTGTCTTTCTCAATCTCTTTCTTTAAAGATTCAAAATTTTCATTGTGTAGTTGGGTGTGATGGTACATGCTTTTAATCTCAGCACTCAGGACACAGAGGCAGGCAGATCTCTGTGAGTTCAAGGCCAGACAGAGACCCAGTCTTAGAAAGACCAAAAAAATTTTTTTTCATTGTAAAGATCTTTAATGTCTTTGGTCAGGTTTATTTCAACTTTTTTTTGTTTTTGTTTTTGTTTTGTTTTGTTTTTTAGGCTATTGTGAATGGGAGGGTTTCTCTGTGTTCTTTCTCTGATTGCTTGTTATTGGTATATAGAAAATCTATGGATTTTTGTAGATTAATTTTATAACCTGCCAGTTTACTGAAAGTGTTAGTTCTAGGAGTTTTCTGGTGGAACTTTTGGGGTCTCTTAGACATAGTATCATATCATCTGGAAAAAGGATAATTTTATCTCTTCTTTTCCAATTAGTACTCCTTTAATTTCCTTCTCTTGTCTTATTGCTGTAGCAAGGGTTTCAAGCACCATGTTAAAAAGGAATGGAGATAGTTGACAGCCTTGTCTGGTTCCTGATTTTAATGGGAATGATTCCAGGTTTTTTCCATTTAGAATGATGTTGGCTGTGGGTTTGTTATATATGGCTTTAATTATGTTGAGGTATGTTCCCTCCAGCCCAGTTCCCTCTAGGACTTTTAACATAAATACGTGCTGAATTTTGTCAAAGGCCTTTTCTGCATCTATTGAGATTACCAGGTGATTTTTGTCTTTGAGTCCATTTATATGCTTTATGACGTTTATCGACTAGCCCTGGGGTGATAGGATGGACTCTAGGTGGTCCCAATGTAGGGAGATGTGTGCATGTCATAATTTGGGAAGTTCACCACTACATGGAGGCCAGATCCAGGAACTCTCAAGCAGTCTACAAAGGTCTGGTACCCTTACTGAAGGACAGAAAAGCCTAGCACAGCACAATTTGGGAAGCTCACTGTTAGGGTTTGAGAATCGAGACTAATTCCCACAGATACCCAAAAAGATTATACACAAGTTTATTTACGAATTTAAAGAAAAAAAGACAAT